AGCCATACAACCTCAAGCTGACATCTCCCATCTTCGGGATGAATTAACAAGGAGGAGCTTAACATTTTACATCAAATGTTTTAAATTTTTAAGAAGTTTTTAAATATTTAAATATTTTAACATTGGCGTTTTAACTTGAGGGCAGTTTCGGATGGAAAGTGAGAATTGATAGTGCACTCAACTATCCTAGCAAGTGTTGTGCTTTTACACGTCGACATATTGTAGCAGTGTCCACACAACAAACATAAATGTGTACAACATAAACAATGACAGTGTTTTCATAATTGTAGTAAGTGCCTCTGATGATGGTTGTGTCAAACCGAAACATGTAAGGCAGAAGTGATAAAGAAGTGACCTACAAATTGTTACACTTGACGGACTTTTTATTAACTTTGTGAATGTACAATATTCTTTGATTTATAAAATTAGAAAAGTTACCAGAGGGTGACCTGTAGATAGTTAATAAATAAATTCCCTTACCCTGAAATTTAAACTTAACAGCACATACCTCAATTTCTCTGTCAATGCAATAAGCCTTCAGATTTAGACTGGAGGAGATTATATTGTTCACATATATACACACTCCTCCCTTCTGGAATAGCTTCGTACAATATTGAGCACCGCAAGTAAATTTATCAATAAAAACAGATTGGATTTCCTGCGAAGTTAAGTGGTGTTTGGTGAAACATAATATATGAGGCAATTGCTGTGACAGATGACATAAAATTTCATCAGTTTTCTTTTGAATACCACATATATTCTAATGGAATATGGTTAAGTTAGCCTTATCTAGTGAGTTAAACGTTTTAGAATTCTTTTGCTTAACATTTAAATTCCTAGAATTATTATAATTGTTATGATTATTGATATTATTGAGATTATTAACATTATAGTGACTGGAAGATGAGATTAGATATGTGTTAGGTTCACTTTTCATACTTGAACTCATGTCTATTGAAAGTTTGCTACATGTATTTATACTGTTTAATTTTTCCATAAAAAATCATTCAGTTTGACTGATTTCAAATTTTTGGGCCTAGTGGATTGCTGGATCGCTGCATCATTTGGGATTCTGTCTTTATGTCTGACTTTGTCCATCCTTTCACACTGAACTTCTAATAAATCCCCTTTATCATAATTGAGAGGTTCTTTATCCATATCCTTAATTTGGTCTTCCACATCAGTATCTAATAATTTGGCATCGTTAATGTTCTGGTCACTTGTCTCTGATGATGATGAACAAGACGCCTCATTGAGGGCCTTTATAACTACACTATCCTTGTTAAAATCTGGTTGTTCCAGGTCAGTCTTCTCACTGTCCTCGTTGACTTGATTGCTGTTCTGTCTCATTACTACCTATGCTTTTAATTCTCTGTGGTTTCTTGCTACTACCTTAGTTGATAGTTTGCTTATTTTGGCTAATGATATATCCTTATTCACCGAGTCTACCACGTTGTCTTCTTCTCCATCCATCCACGGGAGAGGGACAGCCACTTTATTCTGTGTTCTTGTCACCACTGCTAGAATCAATGATGTCCATTTGTTTATTAGCCAAGTTTTACCTTTCAAATTCATGTGCAGACCGTTGTTAATAAAATGTTATGTTTTTAGGCATATTACATAGGCGGATGTAATCATAAGAACATAATTGCTTACTTAATTTTCTATTAAATATATCAACTTCCCTGTTTACACAAGATGATGATTGCAGGTCAAAACAATGTGGAGCAGTCACTATAATCATATTAGTATTCTCCAGGCTTTTTACAAAGTTCAAAATTAATCTTAGTCCCAGAGAGGACTCGTTTTTGGCAATATCTCTAGACCCACCACAAAAAATCACTACGTCTCTTTTCAATAATTTGTCATCCTTTAAGTTCATGGAATATAAAATCGCACTTACATTGGCATTTGGCTTTGTAATCCCAATAACCCTAAAGGCTTTTCCTAGGGAATTCGCCAGTTTTTCAGAACAGCCTCTAACGTGGCTATCGCCAATGATGAAGATTCTATTGCTTTTCGTTGATCTTCTTGTAAATGTGCCTGGTTCTCTAGTTTTACTATTATCACATCTATCTTGATTATGAAACAACTGTTCATACCTATTCACAGTTACCACTACGGGAATATTTTGTCATTTGTGGGTCGGTAGATTCTTATTCCCTAAATTAGGAGTGTCTTTCCTGTTTGGAACTTGCTTCCATCCCCTGTTGTTATCTATACCAGCGAGTTGACTTTGATTCATTTCTTCCTCTACGCTGTTGGATAGGTTATAATTGCTCGCCTGGTTATTTCTTTCCTCTCGTAGTAATCTCACTATAAGTTGAGCCGATTTTAGTTTGTTCCATAATTTTAGTAAATCAGACTTCATTTCTATGCACTTTGGACACCAATTCCCACCTCTCTCAACAAGATTTGAATCAAAAATACACAAGTTGACCTTCATTCGACGCCATATTGAATATATCTTACCTTATATATTCTTATGTGATAAGGTTAAAATGTGGGAACTAAAATGTTAAATAATAAAAGTAGGTGAATAAAGTAGACTAGAATAAAATGCAGTTGGAATGATCCCTGTAATGTGTTTTGTTATTTTCCTCAATGTTTATATGTTTTACAGAGATGTGTGGCAACTATTTGCTTGTAGCTTCATGCATTGTAGGTTTGTACATTTAGTGATTAGATAGGGGTTGAATGTGTAGATGTGATGCAGTTTCATGAGTACATTTTTCTTTCCACTGTACGAAGGGGGACCCAAAAATAACCAGAACTGACCTGTTGCGCGCGCATGCTTTGTAGTTACGAGTTGTGCTGCTAGGTGGTGTTAGCTGGGGGTCTCCCACGACTGTTAGTGAGCTGGCGTCAGTCTGAGTTAAGTGGTTTGTCTGTGGTGCTCTGTTGTGTGAGTTCCTGTTTCAACCCTTTGGCGATTAGTGAGATGGCCGACCAGAAGGAACAAAGAGTGTGCATGAAATTTTGCTACCCGTAGCACCAAGACTCATCGCCAGTCACAATTCTTTTAAGAAATTCTGGATCGTTCTGCACTTCACTCTTCAAGTCGCAGCAAACATTCACGCGGTTTTCTCTTTGGTCATCTCCGAGCAAGCGAGGAACAAATTTTGCAGACACCCGTCTCATGTGCAAACCTTCGGTTAAAATTTGCTGGACCGTGCTCCATGAGATGTTCGTTTCCTCAGAAAGTTGGTCAATGGTCTTTCGACGATCTTCATCAATTGCACGTTTGATTTTGGCAATGTTTTCGTCATATCTTCCTGTCGAAGGATGCCCGGGGCGTGGCATGTCTTCTGTTGACATGTTGCCAGATTTGAAACGGCAAAACCACTCGTAGACCTGTGATTTCCCCAAAGCATCATCATTAAAGGCTTGCCGAAGCATCCCAACAGTCTCGGCTGCAGTTTTCCCTAACAGAAAGCAAAATTTCACGCACACTCTTTGTTCCTTCTGGTCGGCCATCTCACTAATCGCCAAAGGGTTGAAACAGGAACTCACACAACAGAGCACCACAGACAAACCACTTAACTCAGACTGACGCCAGCTCACTAACAGTCGTGGGAGACCCCCAGCTAACACTACCTAGCAGCACAACTCGTAACTACAAAGCATGCGCGCGCAACAGGTCGGTTCCAGTTATTTTTGGGTCCCCCCTCGTATATTATTGGTTATGAAGTTGTATGACATTAACGTCAATGGCAAATAGCAGATCCTACCCTACTTCTACCTAGCAGAGGAGTTTTGTCTTAACCACAGTACTGTCATATTATGGTCAGGAACTAACTGATCAAACCATGTAATTTCTTTCCAGAACTTATTTGAAATTCCCAAAGGAATCCTGTTGCTACCCATGCAAAACATATGTCCATACCACTGTACTCCTAATTTGATCAGCTTTTCTCGCAGTGTTTCCACTTTTAGACCTTATCTAATGTACTTGTTTTGGATTTTGATTTATTAACAGTTTGATTTTGAATCATAGCAAACTCTGTGAAATGTTACAGAACAGTATTGTGTTAATTTATTTTTACAGATTTCTATCGAAGAAATAAAAGGCACTGTGTTTACACAGCAAGAACCTGCCAGGTGCTTGGTATGCAGCCTCTCAGCAAATGCCAACAATCAGTTTATCCACATGCAAGGCAACTCACCTGTGACATCAGCATCTCACATTCCTGTGGTAACCAAATTAGCACAAGTAGTATTAGACAATCAAACACAGATTATTAAACTTCAAAATGATTTCATATGCAGACGATGCTTCAATTTAATTGACACAGTTGACTGTTTGGAGGCAAAATTAGCTGCCCTAAAAAAGGATATAATACAACTGTTTGAAACCCGGCTTATCGCCTTAAAAGCTCTTGAAAATTGGAAAGTAAACGATCTTACAGAAAAAAATGTGAAGGACCCAAAACCCAGTGAGGATGTACCTTCATCTAAAGACCTACCAGTGGATACTTCACAAAATATGTATATAGATAAATTAGATAATATTGCAGTCAAATCTTGTGAAAATGGGGGAAAAATAGATAAAGATAATGAAGATAAAAGAAGTAAAAATTCTGATGAAAAAGTACTAATAGAATATGAGAAGACCGATATTGCTTTTGATAAACAAAATGCATACGATGATGGCTCCACATCAGCATGTGATAACACTCTTGAAGTGGAAGTGGCATCTCATGTAAAGTTTCAATGTGATATCTGCAGTAAGTCATTTGCAAACAAAGAATATTTAACCAAGCATCACCAGCAGCAACACACCAAACAGTTTAGCTTTTGTTGTGATCAGTGTGGGAAGGGATTCACCTTGAGGCGTGCACTGGAGAACCACCTGTTGCTGCATGCTGGGGAGTTCCGTTACCAGTGTGAACTCTGTGGTAAGCTCTTCATTCAGCGTTATTGTTTGGATGATCATCTGCGTAAGCATGAGGGCCGATTTCGTTTTACTTGTCAGCAGTGTGGGAAGGGTTTTATGTGCCGTAACTCACTGCACATTCATACAAGGACTCACACAGGAGAGCGTCCCTTTGTGTGTCAGCACTGTGGTAAATGTTTCAGTTCCAGCTCAAATCTTGTGGCTCATATTCGTGTGTGTTCCAGAGACCTGCCATTCAGTTGCAGTCAGTGCACCAAGAGTTTTGCTCTCATGGCGCGACTCAGGGCTCATGTTTTGTCGCAGCACGAAGGGCAATACCGATTTAAGTGTGCAGTGTGCAGCAAAGGTTTCACAAAGGATTCTGATCGAAAAATTCATGCACGGTCACATTCAGGGGAAAAGCCCCATAAATGTGTTATCTGTGGTAAATGTTACAGTAGTATAGGGAATCTGAATCAGCATGCAAAGCAGCATGATCGGGAGCGACCTTTCAAGTGTTTGATATGTGGCCAAGGTTTCTTGCGCCGAGAAACCCTTGCTGGTCATATGAATCAGCATACTGGTGCTCGTCCATTTAGTTGTGATCTGTGCAACAAAACATTTATGTCAAAACGAAACCTGTATGCACATCATAAGTGGCATGCAGGTACCATCAAGCGCTACACTTGTACCATATGTGGAAAATCATTTAACCATGGTTTACAGGTCCACATGAGGACCCATTCAGGTCATAAACCTTACACATGTTCAGAATGTGATATGGCCTTTACTGTTAGAAGTACCTTAAGCAAACATGTAAAAAGCAAACACCAGAAAGCTATAGGCATACAGTTTGAAAAGCAATCTTAATATGTAAAAAAAAAAAGTCATGCTTTGTTGGGTTACTGATATGTTGACAAATGTCAATAACACACTTAATGAAAGTTGTTCATTTTATTTATTACTGAGGTTACTGAACTTCCATCTCAGACTGTTCTCCGCCACTTTCACTGTTACTGTCTGACCCAGAATTCTCTTCATTGTCATCTGAGCTACTGCTGGATGCTAACCATTCTTGGCTTGTTAGATCATTTTGGATCAATGTCTTCCATTCATCCAGTTTATGCAGATCTGGAAAACAAAGAATTTTCTTTAATGCATCAAAAAATTGAACTATCTTTATGTAATGGAATCCTTGGGAAGCTCACGGTCACTCAGCTTGTCAAGAATTTCCCTGTCTTCTGTGGAACTTGAAGTTTCATTGTATGTTCATGAGAGTCCATTACTGGACACTGTTCCTGAGTTAGGTGAATCTAGTTTACACAGTCACATCAGATTTCATTAAGACCAATTTTAATATTATCCTTCCTTCGCCCAAGTGGTCTGGCCCTTCAAGATTTTCCAACTAAAATTTTCTACGCTGCACGTTCACCCTTCTCATCCCAATAATATGTTTGATGGGCTAAAAATTATAAAGCTCCTCGTACAGTCTTCTCCATCCTCCTGTTAGTTCTATCTTAGGTCCACATAGTTTCCTCAGTACATTCTGATATCATACATCCTTATTCTGTGTTCCCTTTGGAGTGAGACCAAATCTCGTACTCATGCAAAACAACAGGAAAAATTATAGGTTTGTACTATATTTTGTATATGGGTTTTTGGGTAAGAGATGGGAAGAAGGATTCTGAATGAAATGAGAGAAAGCATTCCAGAAATTTATTCTCCTGTTACCTTCTTTGTTAATGTGATTTTGATTTGCTGTCATTTTCCAAGCACTAAACTCTACCTCATTTCTGAGAGATCTGTTAGGTAAGTCTATATATTACGATCTTGTCCTGCATTCTGTGGCAAGACATGAAAGAGCAGGCTATAGTATAACAAAACAGTGTGATCAAGACTGATATAGCTGGTACAATAATATTTAAATTGAGGTCAGACTGACTGTTCTAGCTCATTTAATACCTCAGTAATATCCATTCACTGCAAGCATTCAGTACACAGTTAAATCTACATTTCAGATTCAAGTAGTGCCCCAAACTGGAAAAAGTGAGGCTGAATGCACATGTGGAAAACCGTTGAACAGAATCTTGTTATCAGAATTTTACCATTTTACTAGTTTATGTGCGCTGTCTGATGAAACTCCTACTGTCTTTTGGACAAGCTGTTCTTGAGCAAGAGGTTTAAATTAAATTTTGAATAAAATTATACTTTACAGAAAACCATCCAATTTGGATTACTTTTTAGTTTCACAAATGTCATCCCGGAAGGATAATTTCTGAAACATACGAGGTCTGACAATAAAATTCCAAACTCACCACCGTGTGCTTGCCGTGGCAGTAGTGCACAGAAACCTCAGTATGGTGTGATGCTGGCATATCAGCATTTCAAATCTATGTTGTTGCTGATCCATGGCAGTCTCTTTCTGAGTGGCATCTATTATTGTTTGTGTGTGTTTTGGTGTGCCTTCGCGAGAATGTCAGAGCATGAATTAGAGCAAGAGCAAACTTGGCAAGAGTGGAAGTGAAATGAGAGAGATGATAGTGCAAGTTTAACCGTACAGCGTGGTTTGACGTGTATGTTTCGTCAAGGTATTTAAATCGTCTGCAGGGGTTCGACGTCTATGTTTCGTCCAGCTGCACACCTATGTTATAACGCCCATAATAATTGATGGTTTTGCTGTAGATTGTTAGATTTTTCGCTGGCCTGTTGTCAGAAGAACAGTATATAATGAGACATGACTTTAGCTGCGTTAAGTCATCGTTACATATGCCTGTCTTGCAGCAAATTCGTGTTGCTTCTGGTAGAAGTTTCCTCATTCAAACTGTTATGAATGGTGTGTTTTCTTTCCTATGAAGTTATAAACAGCAGAGACGTGATATGTGCTGTGTTTATAATATCATATTGCCCTGAGCTGGCCACACTAACACACTCAATTAGAATTCTTAGAAGAGGGATGTCCAAAAATTTATTCTTGCAAGATCGATTGATTTCGCACAGTACATAGCAGCCAGTTCTTAGAAAAACGTCACGAATTAAGGCAGAACACTGTGGTCACCCCCTGTGACGATACGGGTGTGTGTGGGGGAGGGAAAAGAACTCATTCCTTCATGTATTATCGCTCCAGTTGACTCCATTTTATCGTACTGACCTTGGTGGTCGTTTCGAGGGATGACCATAAATATTTTTTTGAGCCAGCTAAGCTCTGCTTTCGTTCACTACATACTAGCCAGTTCTTAGAATAACTTCATGAATTCTGTGGTCACCCCTATGACATCTGCTGCAGCCAAAATGGATGGAATGCATAGCACCAACCCCTTGTTATGATAACTCGTAACGGTTGAATTTACTGCAGCTGACCTGGCAAGCTTATCGACTCACGGAAAGACATTTCCTAGTATTCCTCCTTTGGGAAGAAGGCAAGACCGCACAGAATATCTGTGGTTTATGGAAAAAAGGGCCAAATGAAAGATACGCAGTTTTGGTGTGGTGAATGTGAGACAGCGTTGTGTATAGAAGAATGCTTCAGTGCGTAACATACACTCCTCACATTCTAAACCACCTGCTTCCATTGCCGAGATACCGGGCACTCATATTATAAGGTAAGGTTATAAAAACCATCTTTTAAGATCATTTTAGTGAAAGTTTCATGCTTCAAGGCGTACGATACACTGCTCAAATTCTAAACGACCTGCTTCCATTGCCAAGATACCGGGCGCTCATATTATAAGGTAAGGTTATAAAACCACCTTTTAAGATCATTTTAGTGAAAGTTTCATATTCCTATCTCATATAATTTAAGAACAATGATGAATAAATCATTTTCGAGCAAAATTTAAATGGTCGGCTGAATATATTACTGCTGGAGAGACACGGCAGCGGAATTTAAATGACCGCGCGAAAAGGTTAAAGGGATATGCTATGAGGAATACAGCAGTTTACAAGCAGGTGACAGGTTTTTCTAAGGGAAGAGAAAGTGTCCCTGATGAAGAGAGATCAGGACGGCCAGCAATGAACAGAACTGAAGAAAACATTGCAAAAGTTCATCAAATTGTGCATGAAAATCGTCAGCTGACTGTCAGGCATAGCAGAGCAGGTGAACATCGATGGGGAGACAGTTGGGGAAATCTCAACTGAAGATCTTGACATGAGGAAGGTGTGTGCAAAAATGGTCCCAAAGGAGCTCACCAAAGAACACTGTCTGTGAGGAAGTTTTTATCTAGTAAACAAATAACTGTGCTGGAACACCCTCCCTATTCACCGGATCTAGCCCCCAGTGACTTTTTTCTGTTCCCAAAGATAAAGGAAATATTGAAAGGAAGGCATTTTGATGACACTGATGACATCAGGAATAATACAACAGCAGCTTTGAAGGCCATTCCACAAAACCAGTTCCAAAATTGTTTTGAAGGGTGGACCAGGCAGTGGCATCAGTGCATAGCTTCCCAAGGGGAGTAAGTACTTTGAAGGTGACCATGATATTCAGCAAAGAGGTATGCAACAATTTTACTGCAATGAGTGCGAACAATATTGTCAGACCATGTGTGTATGTATCAAAGTCTGCATGATAGTAAATGAGAAATATGTTCACATATTCTAAATAAGACTTTCACTGGAATTTGAGAAATGCAAGTCTCTGATGACCCATTCTGAATACAGAAGTGAAGTAAAGTATTCATCTTTAGGCTGTACCATAGCTCAAGCGGTTACTCGCTCACTTCCCACCACGGCGCCCTGGGTTCGATCCCGGGTCTGGTCAAGTGGGATTTGTGGTGGACAAAGTGGTGCTGGGACAGGTTTTCTCCGAGTACTTCGGTTTCCACTGCCAATCTTCATTCCACCAATTGCTCCACAATCACCCTCACCTATCCATCTGGGACTGGTACAATAGGCCAGAAGTGGCTGCAGTACAAGGGACTTAGTCCCACCCCACTAGCAATAAAAAAAAAGTATTCATTTTGGCCAGTTCTAACCCTGGAAGCTTGTTTCATCTTATACATAAAATCTTTTTGTATGGAATTTTTCTGTTCCTGTCACAGGTGTGGCTTCTAGCCATTCATAAATCATTTTAACATTACAAAAGTGATCTGTATTCACAGCTGTTTCATTACCTGGCAATCATCTGATTAATAACTGATCACCATGCAGTACCAGAGTGATAAATAGAAAATTAGTAAGAATATGTGTTCCATTATTTAATTGCAGTTCATTTTAAGCAAAGCCTAGGCAGGGAATGGGTAATTTTATTGGTGTGTATATTTAAATTAGAACAAAACCATTATATAACTCAGGATGATGGAGACAGACTTTTCATTGTAGAAACACAGGTTCCTTTGTGAATTATAGTGGACATAGTCACACTGGGGCAGGTTTCTGTGTACCTCAGTTTTCCTCTTTCAGTCAGCATTCCACCAGTCCCTCATTTTCATTTGTGATCTCTCTTAGGATATGTATAGTTCACTTGCGGACTATGGGCCACATACCTTGTTTTAGTTTGTTTGATCTCTCTTAGGATATGTTATAGGCTTGATCGTGAAGGACAGTATCACAACCACATTTCTCATCTGAGGCTTCACCTCAGACCTGGCACCTGGTTGAACTCGTAAGTAAAAGGAAGGTTGATCAAGTAATGCAAATATGGTGAAAACCCCATTTAAGGTTCCTTTGGAGCGCAGTGGACACTAAACTGAGAGAAATCTTAAAAGCAATAAAAGACCTTAAAAATTGGGGAACATAAAGTGGGAGTTCCACCATACTATGTTTTGTACCTAAAGAGTAAAAGTCTGACAGAGTAAACTGCTTATTCCCCTCCTCAACCAGTCCTCCATACAGGTAGAGGAGACCATGCTTCACAGCCAAGCCGCAGTTCATTCTAGGTGACGGAGTGAATGCCTGTTGTGCTCCTGAGCTACTTTCTGCATTTTGTTGAGAGGACAGTGTTGATGTAACAGGACCCACTGTCATTTTAAAAATTCCATCATCTGATATTACAGCAGTAGATGATGAAGGTTCAGCTGGTACCTGTAAATTAAATAAAATGTTTTGTGATAGAATAAATATCACTTGGGAGCACTGTGGAAACCTGTCAACCAAAAAAGAATTAAGAATGCCATTTTCTTGGATGTGGTGCTGCGTAGATCACAATGCCAGCATCCTCGCCATTAAGACCCAATACATGGATCGCATCATTAGGAAGGATATTGAGATTGAGATCCATCCCAACAATATGAACAGAGAGGTGGGTTTTGTCTCAGCAAATCATGGAAGCCTCTCATCTGCTCCCTCAAGAAACCTATGGAACATGATGCCACATCTACAAAGCTGTGCAGGTCAATGCATGCTCGGCAGCTTAGCTCTGAGGTGATTGGGTCAATGCTCGCCCTTCAGTGCCTTAACACAATGTGAATGGAGTAAGTCATATGCTAACTGAAAAGTGTCATATTTGTTCACATGAGCTGAGATGCATTTAGTATAAAAATTATGTAAACTTAACTAGAGCTAATGGTGAACAAAATCCTTATGCAAGGAACAAGGAAAACCCCTACCTTTTCTGTTCTATTATCTTGCAATTCACATATTTCCATTTTATTTAGTACATTATCATAATCAGCATTTTCGGCCTCACTGGATAATTCACTTTTCTCCTTGCGTCTTCTCCTCTGCTCCTCAGAAGCCTTCTTCTTACCAGAGAGTGTAACTGCAAAAATTCACATTCTGCATTAATTCATACTTATGATTACCCAATGGCTTCTGTGTCTCAAGAGATTCACAGAAACCAGTCATGCTACCTGGGTACGTACTGCAACACTAGCCTCAGTCTGATTCAAAATGGGCACCATTAACCAATCCTGGTAGTAGAGCCCCATTACAACACCATTACAATATTAAAGCCTGGCGCTGAACACAATTCTCAGCCAGTTCCATCCACCTCATACAGTCATAAAATTTTTCCCTCACATCCATATTAATACTGTTTTTCTATCTCACTTGTATTCTAAGTGACTGCTTTCCAAAATGTTAGAAAGAAAACTTCCTCATTCTGATACCAGACAAATGTTTGGTCAAAGATAAAGCCCCCAAATTAAAAGACTGAAGATGTGATAATGCACTGCCTGGTGAGAGCTATTGTACATTACATGGGGGCAGTATGAAGCAATGGTGGAATGATGATTAGCAGGAAAAACTGAAAGAAAGTTGTAGGATTTGAGGTTCACACACTGGTGGTTATGAAGAGTACTATCTTCTGGGGTATAACGCCATGTAGCTCTGCTTCCCACCTGCTTTCATGCTAGTATCTTGCTTGGCTTATATCTTCGACCCCAAAGATGAAGATGATGTTCCTCCGAAATATTAGTTGACTTTCAACGGGTGACATGGCATTATACCCCAGAAGATAGTATTCTTAAAAGAAAAGTTGCTCTAATCTCACATGAAGTCACAAAGGACTGAACCTAAGGCTCTGCAGTAACGCGCCATAGCTCAAGCGGTTAGTCACTGGCTTCCTGGATCTGGTCAAGTGGGATTTGTGGTGCACAAAGTGGCGCTGGGGCAGGTTTTCTCAGAGTACTTTGGTTTCCCCTGCCAATGTTCATTCCACCAATTGCTCCGCAATCACCCTCATCTATCATCTGGGGCTGGTACAATAGGCCAGAAGTGGCCGCAGTACAAGGGACTTAGTCCCACCCCACTAGCAATAAAAAAGAAAAAGGCTCTGCAGTGAGAAGCCAGCATATGACTTCTTGAACTATGCCATGGCCTTTCCCATATGCATACCTACTGAAAGTATGTATACTTTTTTATTGCCCCCATTTAAGCTACATGCTCATTTCCACCTCTTATCCTTTATTTTACTACCCTAACAATATTAGATATGCATGGAAGAGACAAGAAATGCATATGGGACTTGGGAGACCTAGTCATGAATACAATATAATATAAAAAATTAATGTGGTATGATCACAGGACAGGGCCAAAAAGGAATATTTTGAGAAGATATGTAATGAGATTATAGAATTTCAAAGAACAGGACGTTATGATTTGATGTACATGAAGACAAAAGAACTAGGATGGAAAGAGAATCGTGGGATTCAAAATGTTGGCATCGAAGACTCCCAGGGGAATAGAATAGTAGATCAGAGACAAGTGCTGAAAATTTGGGAAAAGTATATTACAGAACTATATGATCGACCTAATCGGCCAGAAACCTTAGACGTTGAACCGGAAGAAGAAGTAGATACAGACGGGAAAGGACCATATATTTTACAAAGTGAGGTGGAAAAAGCTATCAAGGAAATGAGGAAGGGAAAGGCTACAGGAGATGATGATGTACCTGGAGATGTGCTCAAGTTACTGGGAGAAGGTGGTTTGAAAACATTGACAGGACTAATAAACACCATATATGAAAGTGGAGAGTGGCCCAAGGACCTTACAGAAGTTACAATGATTGCCTTAAAGAAAAAGACAAAAGCTACAAAATGCAGCGACCATCGCACAATAAGCCTTATTGCACATACAGCAAAGATAATAGCAAAGATACTTAAAAGAAGAATTGAAAGGAAAATAGAGGATGTACTTGGAGAAGATCAGTTTGGATTTAGAAGAGGAAAAGGAACCAGGGATGCAATTGGGATGATGAGA